TATGTGTTGTACTCAGCTTGATAGCAACTAACAACAACACACATATGAAAATACATTTTCTCTTTTAAATAAACTTTTATTTAGTTCATAGGTTTAAAATGATATGCTCTTTAAATGGTTATATATTATTTATGTTTACATATATAGCCATATTATTTATGTTTACATATATAATCATATTAAATGTGTATTTGTTTAGTACTACTATTTCATTTAAGTGAGCTCTGTTGGACTAGTGGTAAGGAATTGCACTGCCAATCCAAAGGCACACAGTTTGAATCCAACAGATTATCCACATGAGAAAGATGGGCAATGTCCTCCTGTGTTATTTATTGCCTCTGAAAACCTGCTGGAAGGTTAGCTATATGTTGGTTTTGACTTAACTGTACACAACTGTAACAATTATTATCTTTGATGAAAACTGTCAATGGACTATATATATACATATATATGTGTATGTATGCACACACACACACATATATATATATACACACATACACATACCATATACATATTTCAAAGCTTTATACAAAGAAAGAAAAGTTAAAGCTCACAGGAGTTAAGGGACTTGCCCAAGGTCACAGAGCTAGTGTGCTAAGAGCCAGGGTCTCCTCTGACCCAGAGCTCCTTCTCATGGAAATGGTTGCTTCTCAGACCCTGCCTCGCCCCTCACTCCAGCTAATGGGGTGTGTAGGACAGATAACTAGGATGGAATAGCAAAAGGAGGGTGAATTTAGAGGAGGGTGGAGCCTGGATGTCAGTGTCAATCCTTTCAGCTGTGAAATGAAGACAGTACCTCACAGTCAGGATGACCTGTACCCAAATTATTTAGGGTGCCAATCCCAACTAGTTTGGAGTTTCTAATCACTGCTTTGTGCCCCTTAACCCAGTCAATGCCCCCTCAGGTGTCTGGTGGCTTCCCAGGTGAAGGAAAGCACATACAGAGAGGAGGCCTCAGCTCACTGATTACTAAAAGCTACACCAACCCATTGCCACTGGGTCTCGTTCTGCCCCATAGGAACCCCGTGGCTCTCGGTCTCCATGGAAATGGACCCCCACATCTGCCTCCCACAGAGTGGCTACTGAGCTTCAACCACTGACCTTTCATTAAGCAATTGTTCACTTTAACCACTGTATCACCAAGACCCCTTGGCTCAGTCAGTGGCAAAGGCTTCCTCTCCTACCCCTGACACCTGTGCCATCTGCCAGGCTGACAGTGTCTCCTGGCTCCCATGCTGGAGCGTCCATGACGGCCCTTACGGAATGGGAGAACTCAATCAGAAAAATGAAATCTGCAAGAAGAGTATTGACCGCAGGACCACAATCACAAAGTGTCACCAGCAATGCGGTCAGGGTAGGCAGGGCGGAGTGAGTGTGCAGCCCAGCCCTGGGTCATGCTGCAGCCAAGCTTGGCTGACTCACGAGCTGTCATATGTTAGAGTGATAACCACCAGGACATATTTTTCTTGCTCACACACCCATCTGGGAGGAACACCACACCAGCTGGGCGGATCCTGACGCCAAGGTTGAATGTGGTTCAAACTCCTCCCTGGATTTCCAACTCTGAGAGCGCGTGGCCTTAACCCTTGAAAGTGCTTCCCTGGAACCAGTTTGGTGGGGGCTCCACAGGCCTGTGGACCCTGAAATCCTTGGGCCTTGCGAGAGAAGAGTGTCAGCAGAGGTTTCTGCAAAAGCACACATTCTCGGGCCCTGCTCTACGGTAGATAATCCTTCCCCGAGCTGCTGAGCTAAATCTGCAGGTCATGAAGACACACCCTCTCCATTCTGGGGGAATGCAGCGTTAGGTGGGGATCCAGGAGACAGGCGTGTCGGTCTGCCTTCTGCAAAGGGGTGCCTTCAAATCTGGTTGACACACCCCCATGCTTTCCCACATTACTTCCTCCATCTAAACACTGGGGAGATGGTTCTGGGGTCTTTAATCCTTGTTGCAAAATGAACTTTAAACAATGGTTCCCAGAGCAAGAGGTTTCTCTCCACCCTACACAGCAGATATACTTGAAGACCCCAAAGGAATGTTGTGGGTCCCTCTGGCCCCCAGGTTCGTCCTGAGAGGTGCCGCTAGTGTCTGGGGAGGGGTACAGGAGGCCCGGCCACATATCTTGGAGCTAGGACATGACCACCCACACTACCAGGTGCCCTTGTGGTGGGTCACGCCCAACTTCTCCAACCATCTTCGCAGCATGCTTCCCCTTGAGAAGTCTACTGGGGCCGACCATGAATGTTTCATCAGAAAGACCCCTAAAACTCTACCTGGCCTGACTTGTGTGTGGAGGGTGGGGGTCCACCTTTAGGGTTGTGCGTCAGGTCGTGCCACCACAGTTTTTTTGTACCCACCAGGCTCGTAATGGCCTCCCTGTCCCACTCCTTTCCGGCCTTCCATTCCTTCCCCAGCAATCTGTCCTGTCCTCCTCACACTCCATGACGGTCACTTCTGTGGCTCCCCAGCACTCGTGGGACAAGGTCCACAACCCTAAATGTGACTTGGGAGGCACCGCTCTGACCTCCCCACATCTCCAGCACCATCTTTGCAAGTCCCTGCCCTGGGATATGGGTGTAAAGCAAGGGGGTCGAGTGGGGGAGCTGCCCTTCCTCAGAGCCTTTGTGAGAATGGTTGTCTCTCCCAGGACACCATCCCCCTGGCTGAGAGGCAGCTGGTGTAAAGCCTGATTCCTGCACCTCTCACTTAGAGTGAGCTGTGCTTTCCTAGGCCACAGGTAGCCCCTCTGTGTGTCAGGGAAGGGGGCCTCACTGAGCCGCCGTGAGGCCAGCGAGTCTAAGGGAGCAGGAACGAGAGATGTGGGCCTCCACGATCTGTTTCTGAAACATGCCCTGTGACGAAGTTTGGGCATTGTTCCACAGATTTCGTGGTGCGGATGGCACGAGGTGACAAGCTGCACAACCAGTCCTGGTCCCAGCCGCTGAGTTCCCAGACCCACCTCTGCTTCACACACTCTCCACCCTGCAGTGTGGGATGTGGATGTGGCAATCTTTACACTTCTAGTCAGAACTAGTTAACACTCCACAGCCTGGTCGTAAGTGGGGCAGTGGCTCCCGGTCAACCCTGTCCAGTAATCCCCTGTGAAGGGCCTGGGGCCCACGGGGGGCCCTGGACTCAGCCCGGGGAAGGAGCTGGGGTGGCTGCTGAAGCAGCAGGAAGAAGGCCCTCCCCAATGGGGCAGTCACACCTTGCCTGGCAGGGTGCTCCCACCCACACAGGATGTGGTTTCTAAGGGTGTGGAGGCCAGGCCCTCACCTTTCACTCATCATTCTTTTCTCAGACTGAGAGTCTGCTCCTGTGTCTACGCACACACAATCACATACATGTGTGCACATGTCTCCACAGTCAAACCCATCTATACACACAATCATGCACACCTACCACACACATACCCATGACATGTGTACACACTGGTACACACACGTGTGTATATAAACGCATACACTTACCCCCAACACGTAATTGTACACATATACAAGAACATACTCACATATGTAGACATGTCTTCACAGTCACACCATCATGTACACCTACCACACATACACATCACATGTATACACACTTGTACACACACACACACACAAATGCATACACTTGGCCCCAAACACAACTACAGACACACACACACACACACACAATCACACGTGTGCACACTCCCACATACCTACACCCACAGACTTTCACATGGACATACTGTTCACACCTACACACCTGTACACTCATGCGCATGTACTAATGTACATGCATCTGCACAAACACACACAGATTCACGAATACTCACACTCCTTTATATACACACATACCTGTACACCGACGAACACACCTTCATGCCATGTATACAAACCTACACAGCTGTCCATACACGTACTTAGATCTTACATGTGCACACCCACCCATGCACTCGTAAGTCATTCACGTGCCTCTACACACCCACATATCCATGCACACCCTCATACACATATACTTACGTACAAACATCTGCAGACACGCTCACACTCATAGTTACCGATAGGCCTCTACACACACACACACACACACACACACACACACACACATGTATATAAATGTACTCATATAGAAACATCTGCACACCCACCCATATACTCCTACCCTTCTGCATGACTCCCACACCGCACACCGATGCACGTATTCATACACATGAACTTGGCCCTCTCTGAGATGGACTGATTCAGTGACTGGGGCAATCGGGATGGGAGTGTCAGAGACAGTGCAATTGGCACAGGACAGAGCAGAGTTAGGGCTGTTGTACATAGGGTCGCTATGAGTCGCAATCAACTCAACGGCACATAACAACAACAACAACAACAACAACAACAACAACATACTTTTCACATACGTGATTATACACATATATCTACATACACACATAACCCTAAACCCACACATACACATAACTGTATAAACACAAACATACACCCTCAGATTTATATATGTATCAACCTGCACACATCTACGCACAAGTACCTCTAAATAAGTATAAATATACCTATACACAATACACACATCTACACTCTCCCATTTCATAGACCTGTACACTCACACCTGAGCACACACACGCACACATACATATACCCACCCACTCACCTGGATGCACGTATCCACCTACCTGTACACACACCCACACTCACACATATGCACACATACCTCCACATACGCCACTCTTCTATTACTTTCTTTTTCCTGCTAAAACAAAAAAGTTATCTAATATCAGCCTTGTATATAATTCACAATAGCCCCCCTTTTCATTCTTTGTTTTTCCTTCAAACTCTCTTCCATCTCACTGTCCACACGTGCATTTGGTGGATTACCGCCCGTGGGGACAGCCCGGCGCACTTATCAAGAAGATCTCAGTCACCCACAACCTCTTCCTTCCTCCTCTGGGTGAGAAAGGTGGGAAGAGTTGGGTCAAGAGGCCTGTGTGTTTCTCAAGGCCTCTGAGGGGAGCCCATGTGTCACTCACCTCCAGCACTTTCCCCGTGATAAACTGGTGACAGGCTTCACATTTCACCCCGAAGAGCCCCTGGTAGTCCTTCTCGCAATACGGAGCACCATCCCTGCAAGAGAAAAATATGTCAACTTCTGCAGGGAGAAAAGACGTGGTATCCACACTCAGAGTCTGCTCCACAGCTTCACGTAGAGCTTGCATCCCTCCTGTCCTGCATTCATGGGCCTGGGGCTGTGGTCAGACACGGTCAAACCCCTGAGACCAGACTATCCTGAGGGAAGGCTTCATGCACAGGGCCACACAGACGTGGTAGTTCACTCTCCTCAGAGTTCCTGTTATTGCTTATACCCACAAGTTCACCAGCAGAGTTCTGACATCGTTTTATCTCACAACCAGCCTGGATGGGCTCCACACAGGGACAAGATATTTGTCCACCTGTGAGAGGCCCACACACACCTTCTTCTTCCCTTCACGCTGTCTCTCTGAGCTCACACACCAGACCAGATTGCTCCAACAGTGAGGAGACACCATCGTGTCAGGGGCCTGGTGTTTTCTCCTCCAGCTTAGGCAACCTCTGTTTACTTCAGAACACAACAAAGATTACGGTCATTTATTACACGTGTCCATTGTGGGCAAAGCTCAGTCACCTACGCACCTCCTTCAGCATCAGCTTTAAAGCTGGGCATTTTTTCCTTCTTACTTTGGTTCTATCTCAGAATCATCTGTGGACCGTTTTCAGTCTAATACAGGTGTTCCGGCTTTACCCTGGAATTGGACTTCTAGGTGGACTCACATTCCTTTATGTTTTGAAATGAAATTATTTCTAAAAATACAGGCATGCCTCATTTATTGCATTTAATGTGACTGCACTTTGCAGAGACTGCGTCGTTCGTGCCGTTCCCCTACCACCCCTCAAACAGAAGGTTTACAACTCTACATTGTCTGTCAGTGCCATTTTGTCAACAGTCTGGGCTCACTGCACATATGCATGTCTTAGTTCAGTATTTCTTGCAACATTTCAAACTTTTTTTGTGTTATTACACTTAATGTTGTTGTTATGTGCCGTCGAGTCGTTTGCGACTCATAGCGACCCTATGCACAACAGCCCTAATCCCTGCTCTATCCTGTGCCAATCGCACTGCCTCTGACACACCCATCCCGATTATCCCAGTCACTGAATCAATCCACCTCATAGAGGGTCTTCCTCTCCTGTGCTGTCCCTCCACCCTCCCAAGCATGGTGTCCCTCTCCAAGGATCTGTCTCTCCTTATAACATGTCCAAAGTATGTCAGACGAAGCTTCAGAATCCTTGCCTCCAAGGAGCAGTCTGATTTAACCCTCTCCAGGATGAACCTGTTTGTTTTCTTAGCAGTCCATGGTATTCTCAATACTCTTCTCCAGCACCACAGCTCAAAGGCATCAACTCTCCTTCAATCCTCCCTGGTCATTGTCCAGCTCTCTGATGCATGGCAAACAATTGTGAAGACCAAGACCTGTATCAGATGCTCCTTAGTCTCCAGAGCAACAACATTGTTTTTCAGCACTTTGGAGAGGTCTCTAATAGCAGACTTTCCCATCATAATATGTCTTTTAATTTCCTGGCTGCTGGTGCCAAGAGTGTTGACTGTGGAGCCAAGCAAACTAAAGCTATTAACAACATCAATCTCTTCACCATAGGGCTGTTTATTGTTGTTAAGATACCATCAAGTTGGAACCAACTCACAGCTGACCCTCCAGCGGGTTTTCAGAGACAATAAATCACATGGGAGGAGTGTGTCCATCATTCTCCCTTGGAGCAGCCGGTAGATTCAAACTATGTTCCTTTGGGATGTCAGTGCAGCTCCTTACCATTAAGCCACAGAGCTCATGACTCATAGATGCACTAGACCCAACTCACTGCCATCCAGTCAGAACCTGCTCACAGTTGCCTCTCCATTGGGTTTTGAGGCTGTAAATGGCACGTGAGGAGATTTCTTATCTTTCTCCCTCCCAGGCCCTGGTGCATCTGAACCACAAGAGAGGCACAGCCTTCGAGCCAGTGCAACTCCTGGTAGACTACACACCACACTCCCTGCACACGCTTCATCACGATAGAGGCTCCACTGTACTGGTTCTGGGCTGAATCACACTCTCTTCCAGGTAGTTCTGTAGGTAAAATCTGGTGTTGGAATTTTTGGGTTTTTTTCCCATATACCGTCAAATCAGATCTGACTAGTACAGGAGGAGATGTCCCTCCTCTTTAGCAGAGCATCTGGTGGATTCGAACCGTGCCCTTCTGGGATTGCAGTGCAGCTTCTTGCCACTAGGCCACCAGAGCTCGCCAATGTGGGAATATTTTTAAAGCCTAAAAACGGGCGCTTTGGCGGCCTAGAGGCCAGAGATTGCACTCCCAACCCAAAAGCATGTGGATTGAGTCCACCAGCTGTTCCACGGGAGAAGAATGGGAAATCTCCAATTGTGTGATTATCTGACTCTGAAAACCTGCTGGAGGGTCAGTGATGTGTTAGTTCTGACTTGACGGTTCATAACAACACAAAGGTATATACAGTGGAAAACTCTCCCTTATTCTCCCAGTCCACCAGGTTCATTCCTTCCCCACAATCAAAAAAGGACGATTCTCTGACGAGTTTCTCCTGGAGGTTGTTGTCAGCTGCCGCCACGTTGACCGTGACTCTGTGAACAACAGACTGGAGCCCTGCCTTATCCTGCATTGTTCTTAAAAGCGTCATTGATCAACTACATCTGACAGGAGCTTGATCCTATTCCATGAAGGGTGTTCTGTCTGCTGGTCACACGTAGACAAGCTGGTGCCTTGACCCAGCATGGTGTTAGAGATCTAAACGTAGATCTAGCTTCAAAACAGGGACGAAAGTAGCAAAGCTAAAGGCAGTAAATGTTTCACTGGTTATAGAGTAGTGTGACGTTACGTTAATGTCACTAATTGATCAGTTACCACGCTGACTGCCTTCGGGTCCATGCTGACTCTTGGAGACCCCATACATGCCGGAATAAAGCTGGGCTCAATAGCCTGTGCAACGGCTGATTTTGGGGGACAAGACCACCTAGCTTTTCTTCTGAGGTGCCTCTGGGTGGACGTTTGGGTGAGCAGCTGAGCCTTTCACCATTTGAACCGCCCAGGGATCCAACTGTTAAATCAGGCAACCGTGACCCTGTAATTGCATTTAGAGTCACTGTGACCCTATTATTGCATTCAGAGTTGCCACACCGTCTCAAAAGCTGGAGAAGAAAATTCTTTTCAAATGTTTCATAGCCATGAACGTTGGTGTACAAGTCTCCGTGTGTGCCTCAGTTCTCATTTTCTCAGGGTATATTCCAAGGAGTGGAATAGCTGGGTCACATGGAATTTCTCTGTGCAGCTTTTTGAGGAAACAATCATAGGGTCACACAATTTTATGGATAGAGGGAAGGGTGGGTAAAGAAAACTGGACAGATGTGGTGTGGAAAACAATAAGAACTTTGTAAGTAAAACAGTATAAAATAAAAAAAAAGAAAAGAAAAAGAAAAAATTTCTCTAGGCCAGAATTCACGCTGATGGTGGGAGGTGAGTGACCTGGCCCGTGGGGAGCCCTGTGAGGGGGGCTGTAAGGACCGGCTACTTACTTGCTGATGTACTCCCCGGTGAGGACCTTCCCGCACGACTTGCATTTAAAGCACCCCAGGTGCCACTGCTTCTCCAGGGCCAGCAATGCCTGCCCGTTCTTGATGTCTCGACCGCAGCCGGCGCAATCTGGAAAAGAGTGGTAGTCACCAGTTACTAGGAGGCACTGCACATTGACTTTGCTGAAGGCAATTACGAAGGGCAACCACAGTGGGCACGGAGCACACAGTCTGTGCAAACCCTGTAAGCATCACTTCCTCTCCCTGACCTGCCTCAAATCCTTTCCTGCGAAGTCGGCCAGGCCCCAGCCTCACTCAGCAGTGACTTCTATGGATATACACGGGCTGGATGTCGTCACAGAATTATTTCTGTGCACATAATTTAAATACCCTTCAAGCTTCTAACCGGTTTGGTGGTGCTCTGGAAGAAAGGGTTAGCAATCTGCTTCTGTCAAGATTCATTCACTCACTTATTACCATCATGTTGAAATTGGCCCATTATGTACAATGTTTGGATGACCTTCCAGATTGATTTATGCTGGGAAGAAGGAGTGGCATCCACTTCCTAAACTAGATGTCTCTGGAAACTCTACAAACTCTATAAATGTACAGAAATTATGTTAGTTATAGAACAGTGTTCAGGGTTTTTTTGTGCAAAATTTACTCTCAGTGGTATTCAACTTGACGACACTTAACCACTGCTAAATGAGACTAGTGCTGTTATCTTCTACTTTGTACATCGCTCTTTGTCAATTTGCTGTATGAAGTAAGCTGGGTTTGCTGTGATGTTGAACCTTGTACCATTGGGGTATCAAATACCATAATGGTTTCCCAATGTGGACAGTGTAAAATAGGTTTGGAAGCAGGAGTGGTGTCCACTTCCTATACACCACATGCCTCTGGAAACTCTATGAACTTGGAAAAATGACAATAGTTATTAGGAGTTTTGTCCGAGATTCAAAGAGTGACTTAAGGGCTGCAAGCGTAGGTATTCCATCAATCTCCACTGGTCCAGGAAAACTGGTAAGAAGCTATTCATGTTAAAGTGTACAGATTCTGGAACTAGTATGCCCAGTCCTGACGCCAGCTCCACTCCTTGGTCATGCAACCTTGGCAAGTAACTTCTGCTTTCTGGTTTCCTCCAGTGAAATCAGGGGGTGTAGGAGCACCCAGCCCACACCTCCAGAGGAAGGTCCCATGAAATAGGGGTCCTGGCACCACGGCTGGCACACAGCAGGTGGTTTTACAAGCCTTTACTACTATCATCGTCATTATTATCATGGTAATTTTGATCATAAAATCTCTTCTTCCAAGGGAAAGCTGAGTATTTAAAAGAGTCCTGAGGGATGGAAATTTGTATAACCTTTCTGGGAAGCACTTAACTATCTATAAACATTTAAAATCAATGCACCTGTGAAAGCAAGAGGATGTGCCCTTGGCGAGCTGCCCAGATGTCCCCCACTGACCGTAAAAAATAGTCACAGAAGAAAGCAGGGCTGGACAAGGTCACTCCACGGCTATGTCTGGAGTAAGACAGAGCCTCCCAGGACACAAAAGTGATTACACACTCCCCTCTTCCAACCACAGCCGGACGGTGACAGTATTATTGTTAACTGTGTGCACTGAGCTAACTTACAATGACATGAAAGCCCAACTTCAATTCTCTCTCCTACTAGAAAAAAGGAAAAATGCCCCATCACAGACTTGTTCTCCCGTCCAGACAAGTCCCCATCCAGAAATGCACAAGCTCCTTTGAATCCAAGCCCATTTACTCCAAGATGTGTCGCTGTCAAGTCAATGATAACTCACAGTGACCAGTCAGGACAGAGCAGAATCATCCCCAGGATTTTCAAAACTGCAAATCTTCATACAAACAGGCTGGTGGGTTTGAACCATTGGCCTTTTGAGTAGAAGCTAAGCACTTAACCACTGTGCTATTAGGGCTCCTACACCCTGTGGCAGCCATCCAAATCCTCTCCTCTAATACGCGTTCTACAGTTTCTGTGGAAGGTCTCAATCTCTGATACAGTCTGTTAAATAAACATAATCCATTTCTTTCTGCACTACAGAAATACGAAATATATTTCCAAAGATCTGTCTATAGCCATTAATACTTTACCCAGCAATTTCATGTTATTCTACAGATGAGTTCACTGAAGAATATAGAGAAATTCATGTGAGTCTATTGCCTGCCACATTTTGGTAGCGCTGAGAATAGCCTAGAGGCATGTGATGAGAGACTAGGTAAGTTACAGTTTAGATAATAATGAGGTGCCCTAACAGCACAGGGGTAAAACGCTGAGCTGCTAACTGAAAGGTCTGTAACTTAAACCCATCAGCTGCTCCAGGGTCGAAAGATTCAAACTACAATCCGCTGCCAGGTGGGTTGATTCCGACTCACAGCAACATTCCATCCGGCTTCGGAGGCTGACCATCGTCTTGGGAGCAGACTGCCCGTCCTTCTCCCTCAGAGTAGCTGGCCAGTTCAAACTGCTGACTTTTCAGTTAGCTGTACAACGTGTCACACACTCCAGCCCCAGAGCAACTTGCAGAAAAGATCACAGTTTAGGAAATCCTATGGGCTGTTTCGCTTTGCCCTATTGCGCTGCCACGGAGTTTGAGTGGCCTCGTGGGTAAGGAACTGCACTGTGATTCCAAACACATGTGTTTGGGATCCAGCAGCTGCTTTGTGGGAGAGAGATTGGGAGAGAGATGGGCAATCTCCTTGCATGAGATTTACAGCCTCCGAAAATCTGTCCGAGCATCAGCTATGAATCGGTTCCGAGTAAACGGCACAGAACCACATAGGATGCTACGAGTTGGAATTTACTTGACAAACATAGAAGAACGGAAGGCAATAGCTGAACAGTTGTTGTGTGTTGTTGGGACCAACTCACAGCTGACCCTCCAGCAACTTTTTTTTTTTTAAGAATTTTGTACAAAGATTTATTCATTGCAAATACATTTTTTCCAGTTTGTTTTTTTTTTAAATTTTTTTCCCAGAGGCTTTAAATCACAAGGAAAGAGATTGTCTACCTTTCTCCTGTTAAGTAGCTGGTGGATTTGAACCCAGTGCCTTAGGGTTGCCAGCGTCATTTCTTACCATGCAGCCACAGCGTTCTCTTATTGTTGTTGTTGTGTACTGCTGAGTTGGAAGTGATCCATCACTGGCCGTCCAGCCGGTTATCAGAGGCAGTAAATCACACAGGAGGAGACAGCCCATCATTCTCCCACAGAGAAGCTGGCAGTTCAAACCACGTTTCTCTAAGTTGGCACAGTACCTCCTGACCACTAAGTCACCAGAATGCCTTAGAGCTTCCCAGCATGAAATAGATTTGTGGAAGGACAAGGAAATATGTCCTAAATAAACTCAGTTTTTAAAAGGTGAGCTTCAGAAGTGCTCCTTCAGTATCTCAGTTGGTAGCGTGGAGGGCTGTAAAAGGCGAGCTTTATGCAACAATGAATGAATGAAAACCCCAAATCTCTGTAAATGTTCATGAAAATGAATAAAATTTAATAATAATAAAAAACAATTAAAAAAATGAAAAAGGCGAGCTTCAGAACACGGTCCAAATTCAAACCCGCTGCCACCGGGTCCTCCTCCCAGCGATGCTGCAGGGCAGAGTGTAACTGCCCGAGAGCGCCCCCTGGACTATGAGTCTCCACGTAGCCGGCCCCTGCACCTTCCTGTCAAGGGCCAGTCGGTGGATTTGAACTACCAGGCAGCAGTCAGGAGCCGAGTGCTTCAACCACAGTAGCACTGGAGCCCCCTTGGAAATGCCCTCTCGCAGAAAATAGTTTTAACAAAAAGAAACAAAAGAAATACGTGTGTGTGTGTGTGTGTATATACACATGCTTATATAGGACCAGAATGTTTCTGGAAAAAATTAAATGTAAACTCTGAAGCACTGGTTTGCTATATGGAGGAAGATAATGTTTTTAAAGTATTTTTTTGTGTTTTTTTTAGTTTTCTCTTTTTTTATACCATAAGAATGTGAAGGAAAATTCAGATAACTGGAGTAAATAAGAAAAGTCTTTATAAAGTTAAAAAATTATATCTGAAAGTGTTTAAAAATTCTATCTGCTGTCCAAGTACTGAATGTTACAGATTAGAAGTGCTTAAAGCACTACAAAGGTCATACATAATGTGTTATAGTTATAAAATAAAAACAAATAGATAAGAGTTTATCTTACAAATTGTGTATTTATTCAATCATAAAAGTTAAGATTTAAAGAAAATAAGTAGAATGCACTTATTTAGGTTTAGAGGCACCTTCTCTCCCTCACTGGAGTCAGAACTGACTCATAACTGACCCTCACTAGCTTCCAAGGCTGTGCGTTGAAGGAGAATGCTCATCTTTCTCCCAAGGAACCACTGGTGGACTTGAACCAGGGATGATCTGTGGGTTAGCAACAATTGCATATAGACTACACCACCAGGGGATTTTTGGTAAAGAAATGAAAGATAAAAGTGGAAGGTCATGATAATTTGTGAAAGGGACATCATGATGAGAAAGGTGAAAGAGATCAGAGAATGAGAGGAAACCCCCCAAAAAGATGGATTGACATTATGTCTGTTACCGTGACATCTTGAACACATTAGGGGTGATGTGGACGGAGCGGGATAAGGTAAGGTTCAGATCTACTGTTCACAGGGTCGCTATGAGTTGAAGTCGACTTGACGGCACCTAACAACAACTACAACATCAGACTTCTTAAAACTCAAGAGTTCTGAAAGCTGCCACCTTTAACTTTTGAAATTGGACTGCAACTTTTCCTTCCTGCTTAGATACACCCCGCTAGATGGCAGCAAAGATTCAAGATAGTAAGACACTGCCTTTTTAAACAGAAAAAGACATTCCGGGGCTGGATTTTCAGTGCTAAAGAGGGAGAGTGCTGGGCTCCAGGAGGCTGGAGGAATTATTCAAGGTCTCCTCAGGACAGGGTCCAGAGAGGTGGAGGGTGTGGGATGGCAGGAATGAGGGGCTGTGCAGTCAGGAAGACTTGCAGATAACTCTCTCTGAGCCCTTAATTCCTCGTCTACTAATGCTACTCAAATCTACTGCCAAGGAAGAAAAAGAGATGGTGTGCTTTGCAGGGCTTTGCAGAACACCTAGAATGCCTGGCCCA